TTTAGATCTCGATAACCATCATGGCGTAACTCCCATTCAGGGGCAATTTCATACCACACATAATACACCAAAGACTATTTCATCTCTACCCATATTTTTCAAAGGCATCCTTGATTACATATGATTATGAAATAGTATTAGAGAACTAATTGGCCCAATTTTACCCGCTCCTATAATACCAAACAACCCATATATAAGCTGACAACGTTTATTCAACAAACAGCATTGTCCTCCTCTATGTCTACTGTCACCTTCCACATTTTGTCAGAACCATTATCTCGAAAAAAAATAAAAAATCGCGTTACGTGGTAAAAAGACTAAATATCCTTTTGACAAACGATTATTTAATCACTTAACAAACAAACTCAAAAGAATCTTAGTTAAAATCAAATCTGATCATTTAACAAAGCATCTCGTATCTCTATCTACCGCCGACAGTTCACTATGGCAAAAATACCAGAAAAATTATCCACTCACAATGCCCAATTCCCTCTTTAAGACAAATCGACGGGTTGTGGATTATCAGTGATATAGTAAGAGCAAACACATTTCGTCATCGCTAACATTCAAATTTTCAACCAGTTACACCTAGCTACAAAATAGAATGCTCGTTACCAATAACAATCGACACAAACAGCTTCGTCTCCTTCTTACGTCCAAGCATGTCACACTGCATAATAAAATTCTTCTCTACAAGCTACTCCTCAAACCTGTCTGGTCCTACAGTATTCAACTCTGGAGGTCAGCCAAAGTCTCAAACATAAGCAGAATCCAAACCTACCTATCCAAATACCTCCAGCAGATAACCAAGACTTCGTTTTATGTATCGAATAATACTCTTCATAGAAACTTCCTCATCCCGACAGTTAAAAAATATAACCAAAACACTATAAAAACGTGTCTACCTTAAACTATCAAACACCATCGATCACCCAAAAACTTTTTTCCTACCCAATCCTAGATAGCAAACTTTTAGATTTAACTGGTGCTGAGACTTGCTAGTTGGTTAACCACTAAAACTCTAGTCATGAAATATTATTATTTATTATTGAATAGTTTCTTTGATCAAGACAATCAAACCCTCTTTTTTATCCGTTCATCCGTTGTACTTATTGTAAAACTAATTACCTATACAAATTGTAAAAATTAAAAATACGTATGAAAAAAAATATATTTACTTATTGTTACATGTTTTTTTTTCCGTGGCATTTTGAGCTACACAGTACATTATTTTTTTCGACAAACACTTCTATTTATTTGGCAAAAACATTATAAGCCTGCCTTCCAAATAATCAAATAATGAATGTCTCTTTGTGACTACTATAATAGTCTGTCTGAAATAAACTTAAAAAACAGCCGGCTGTTTAGAAAAATAATAAGTAGACAAAAATCCTAATTGTCTATATGACCTATGGTATACATACGTAAATAACAAAAATAAATAAATTAACCGTTCAAATAACAGTCTCACATAATTATTAATAAAACGTAACAAAGAGATAAACGCGAACTAATGATAAATAATTGTGCCTGTAATCTGTATTAATTTAAAATAAAGGACTTATTAAATTCTATAATATTCATACAATACTTAAAACTAATTCTTTAACATATTAATATATTATTAAATCATAAATTATGAGTTGAAACTAAAAATTTAATTAATATATAGGTATATTATAGGCTATTGGCTATATACATATTATATACCATATAGTGTTATCATAGATTATTTAATATAAACAATAAACAATTATTTTTTTTATTATAACTAGTCTATATAGTACATACTCGTATTAAATATATTATTTGACTACGATATGACACCATGTATATATACTAGAATGAATAATAAAAAATATTTTATTTTTATTACCAACTTAATATTTACGCATAAAAATAAAATTATAATTTAAGTACTTATTTACACTTTAGAAACATGGCTATATCTTGATATATCAGGTACCTATACATAATAGGAAGCAAATGAGTTAATGATATAATATTATGTCGTAAAAGGCAAAAACAATTTATAGAAAAATTTATTTTTATTTATAATTTACTATTTTTTCTTATAATAATAAATTAATACACTAAATCAATAACCCTATGGTATAGGCCAGTAGGTATTAAAAAATTTAATTATTTTATTATTAAATTCTTGAAATGTTAATAGAATTATTAAAAATTATTGTACGAGTAGATCATTTTATTGCGCAGTATTATAATACAAATTATACTGTAGGTACATACGATTATTGCTGTTAATTTATACTTCATTTGTACTTATTTATGTTTTACATGTTTTATTCAATATTCATTAAATTAAAAAGAAATTTATGAATTAGAAATATATTTTTTCATAAATAATAAATGACAAACAATTCCGATTTAAAGAATATCGTATAATAGACATAAAAATAACTTTTATTTATCTTGCCCAAGGCTATCTTTTTTCGCGGATGTTCGCAACAATTGTCATTGATATTTTTAATAACACTTGACATACATATTTATCTCTTGAATATAAACATATTTTGGTAATTATATATTTAGATAATTTTTGTTTATTCGCGCTATACGATGCAAACAACATAAATATTATTAAGATGACCTAGTTCTTACACTTAACCATTTAAAACAACAGTATGGAAAACCTTGCTGTACTGAGCAGATTTATTTATAAATTATAATCATACATTTGGAGGTTAGTCGATAGTTTTGGTAATTAAATACTCTTCAGTGGGTAGTGTTAAGTAAAATGTCAAAAATGATAAAATATAAATTGAACAAAAAATTGCAATAACGAATTATAATAAAATTATTATTTATACCCAATTGTATAAAATATAGTATTATATATGACTGATCCTAGACTCTTAAGTATACCTAGGTTAATTTACACATTTGTAATTTGCTCGTACCCTAAATGGCCTAAATGCATTTTAGGATTCAGCGAACAAAGCCTACCATCATTATTCATTAGTAAAAAAAAAATCCCTCTGTAAGAATAAAAAATTTTCTATTATTTGTTCATATTAACTATAACATTGATATAAAAGTGTTAAAATTAAAGATATCACAATGAATAATTATTATAAGTAATATTGACACACTCAAAAAAAAATTAATTTATTATTTTAAAACCGTTATTTGAAGTAAAATTGCTAAAAAAACGATTTGGAAAAAATCTTGTTTCAATTGTGTTTTCCTGACGTCATTAAACAACTGTAATTTCACTAAAGCTTATTTTATACATCTAAATGTTGCTCAATTCATACGAAAATGTACTTAAAATTAGATTTTTATTTCGTGAGTTATTTGTGCAAAATTTTATAGTACAACTAAAAGCAATTAATTTATTCATTCATCAATACTAAATACAAATTGTAATATGTAATTTAATTAAAATTATATAGTACAAAACTTGCAGAAATGATTAAATTAATTACTGAGAAAATCAAAATACGGAATTTAGTTTTTTTATATATTGAGTATATTGAATAATATGAATACAAACGTGGCACCAATGCCGGATTCATGAACGAATCCCCGTAATACATTTCCCCGTTAGACATTTCTTCGTCAAAAGAAGGATATACAGGGTGATTTTTTTATCAAACAACACTCATTATTTCCAAAAGTATTCATTTTTTTGAAAATATTTTTTTACATAGTTTCAAATTGTTAAAAAACAACATTTTTATAAAAAAATTATATTTTTAAATATTTACAAATTATTTTATGTATCTGTAATAATGTAATAACGTATACCAGTAGCATTCATTTTTATTATAATTATTGCTCAAAATTTTTATTATTATTAATATTATTATTTATATACTTTTATTATTATTATTAATTAACAACATTTTACAAATTACGGGGACGGGGAAATGTCACACGGGAAAACGTATTAGACGGAAAAATATTTTACGGGGAAGTGTTTACGGGGAAATGTTCGACGGTGAAATGGGGACGGGGAAATGACCCGTTACCCCATTGCCGTTGTTCTTAGAATTTAACTTGAAAGCCATTTTTTTTTTTTTTTTTTTTGTTATATGTTTTTTTGATATTCTTTAGTAAAAGCCTATTAAATAAAATAAATTATTCAAAGTATATAAAAATAATTATAAAAAGAACAAAATTGTTTATTTCTCAATTTCAGTAGAGGATTATAAATAAATTTACTGACATCAAAGGCAAGAACCAATACTATTTGATGAGGAATCCAGGTTTTTAATGGTTTTTAAATTTTAAATTTATCGTCTTATTCTGACAAAACCAAATTTAATTAAACATTTAATATAATAACTATTGAAGACTTCTGTTAGTCATTACTTATTAGTTATTAAGTATAAAATAATTAACTTTATAAATTTATAAGTTTATGGAACAGATTTTGTTATTATTTGAAATTAAAATATGAAAAAGGTTGCCTACGCCTTACAATAACTAATAAATAATAACTAATAAGTATACTCGTGGATACTAAATATCAACTTGATTGTAATTATACCATTTACACGAATTACACGAATTACTAAGAGTGAGATACACAATGTAATAAAAATATCAGAACGCTTTCAAAAAATATGTATTTATGAAAAAAAAAAAAATCTCTAGAAATTATTTTGTCCTGGCTCTACGAAACCTTTGATGCGATACCGATTGTATAATAATAACATGGGTACCGACGTATAAATAAGTTTATGTTGATATTTATTATTGATCCATCATTGCCATTGCCAAATGGTAATCGCGCTAAATATATATATATATATATATATACAATGTACTCTCGCTTATTTCCTCGGTCCTTGATATTATTCTTATACACATTAGAAAACAACTGCGGCTGTTATATATTTTGTTCTAATAATAAATCCTGTTTCAGGCGTCATGCTTCGGCCGATTACTCAGCGCCGGTGGACGCCGAGTGCACACCACTCAATGATCAAATCCCCTCTTTAGCTATATGTATGCTTATATATAACGCTATTTTATTTAAAGCATTTTAGTAACTACAATCCTTTGGTTTCAGACATTTCCAAGTAGCTGAACCGTTCGTACAATCCACTGAGCGCAGAGCTATCTTAAAAGTTTATCTCCACCAGTCAAATACACTAAAATAATTTAAACATGGTTTACTCTTCGGACTTTTACACTTCCCGCAGACCGGCGTACTACAAACCAGCCAGCTCTTATTCAGTCACCGTAAGTGTTTTTGTCGTTTTTATTTTATTTTTTTTATTTTAATTACCTACTATTATTTCAAAAGTATTTAATGAGTATCGTAACTTGAGCGATTCGCCGTCGGCAGTCGATAAATTAACGTTATCAAAAATTACCCACCGACTACATAGTCGACTACTGTGCCGTCTTAAGGGTCGTGTCTGAAATATATACCACCCATAATCATTATTAATGGTCATAACTCATAATGGACCCCGTATATTATCGTTCATGATTTATTTTTGATTATTTGACAACAAATAAGTTTATTAGTAAAATTAATGTGGTGTTAAGACTGAAAAGTTCCGAAATGCGCCTGGACATATTTGGCACGGAGGTCTATCTGAACCTTACGACGGCACTGTTTAAAACTTTCACTAACAAATAAAGGCATACTTCCTCAATTCCCCGAGAAAAACCTCCATCACAGACAATGTATGATAACTATAAAAAAAACTGTGCAGTCATGCGATGGCTCGATAAAATAAACTATGAATTCTTTGCGAGGGGGGTATAATATTAAATAGCCGCATTGAAATTAAAAAAAAAAAAATTGCATATTATGTATATATTTGTATTTTAAAATAATAACTAGTGGGAAATATTTAATATACCACACACAATTGGCTGTGGTGGAAGTATGAAACTAACATCGAAAAAAAATACTAATAGTTATTTACTAAGTGTGTTTGTGTATGTTCGACAACGATGACGACCATATTGCATTATAAATTATATCTATTAAATAATTAGTAAGACGTTGTAAAATAAGTTATTTTGAAATTCAATAAATTGTATTATTTATTAACTATTACCAACACCAAGCATCATCAAAATATTTTCATGAATCATGGGTTTATTTATTCAATCGTTTATAATTTTATGCTTATTTTTGTACTTAATGTTAAGTTTTTAATTTTGTAGAGAATGTTCTCAAGTGTATAATTTATGCGCACCAATATTTGGCGACTTGACCATTTCTGGGGCTCCGTATTTATTAATAACGCAAACACTCATATCTAAATTTAAATTTGTAAATTCTTTTAAACTTTTTTTCTTATACCCAAAAATTATACAATTCATTGGTAAATGGAATTATTAAAATACAATTTATAAATAAAACTATACATGAATTTAATTAATATCTTTGTTCTGTATTAGACACATATTATATTTAAATAATTCGATAAACAATAGGAATCCCTTTGACTGCATTGATACACTCCGATTATTGTTATGAATGTTATAATTGTGTTAGTTATAAATACGTATCCCTAGATATCTGGTAATTTAAAATTGATTTTTCATTTAAGTACTTGTTCGTTAAATAATAATTATTAATTTTAATTTAATGTTAGCCAGGGTTTGTACTTATATTATATTCTATACTTTTTACTGCCTTAAATAATAATTTGTTTTGTTATTACTTATTAATTATTAGTTTTTACTTATTAGTGTTATTATATTTTATTTGTGTCAAATATTAGTGGTTGTTAACAAGTGTTATGAATTATATAGATTTATACAACATAAGTTAAATTACGAAATGTGTCATGAATTATTTTTAAGTTAAGCTTATATTGTGCACCCATGACCCATGAATATTAAGTGTCTATTATTATAATTAAGAAATGGAAGTCTCTCTCTAAAATATCATACCGGTCGTTTGTGTAACCAACATATACACACGCACATTTTAGTCATAACGTACGTACCTATATACCCATATTGGAAACCGATCAAATTCCCGTATTTTGCATATTAAATAATATAAATAGTGGCATAGATGTACTCATCAGTGTGGGTGTGTGTGTGTGTGTGTCTGCGTGTGTGTGTTATAGCCAGAGCGCCACCAAGAACACGGGCAACCCAAACCAGCCGCGTTTACCAGAAACACGGCCCGTGTCTCGTGGAATAAGGTCCCCAATGTCCCCCGTCCCAGTCAGGTCCAGTTGCCTTATCTAGTGTTCGGTAGAAAAGGTGACAAAAATCAAACGCAACGGGAGTTCCTCTGGGCCGGCAACGAGACGGACGTAGAAACGGAAACGAAAGAATTGATTAAGAGCGCGCTGGCTCGCCGACACTTGCACGAAACCGAAACAATACCGTCCAAGAACCGCCTGAACCACCACCGGGTGGACACTGAAGGGCACGAGGGGCACACCCGGCGGCGGATACTGTTCAGCTCGTTGCCGCCGACGTTATACCGATACTAGAAGTTAGAAAACAAAAACAACGACGAACTATGCCATAGCGACGTTTATTATATACCTACCGTTCGTCGATTGATAAAAATATAAAAAAAAAAAAAAAAAAAACAAAAAAAAATATATTATATATAACTACTCATTAACATTTACGATTTTCGCTCGTTCGGCAGTCGCGCCGTCGGTCGTTTTCCATATTATGATGTATACATTTTCGGCTACAATAGTAATGATAAGATTCGACGCGAAAGGTGTTGGTAATATAACGTACATGCATACTTGCACCATACTTACACACTTACAAATACAATATGCACACAACACGACACGTTTCGAGTCCATCGGCCGGCGGTGCAGGGGACGCGCACCGATGCACACCGTGTTTACGATATTATTCTGTACAACTACACCACCGCGGTACATATGGGGTACCGGAGATTTATGTTTTTCGATTGACGACTCGTACCGACGGCCAATTGCTTGCCCCCACCCCCAAGCCCAATGCCGCGGGACGTTTGATTATAGCTGATAACATTATAATATTAGAAGCGATTATTTAAAAAGACAGTATAAAGAAATGCGTGACGTGCGCGTTGTGTTTTATATGTATATAGACGCCCAGCAGATACTCTGTGAGCTCGTCGTACAGCACACCGGCGCCGGTCGAAACCAGAAGACAATACGAATACCACACCGAGCAACGCGTCGAGTCTTCGGGACGTCCGGGCTCGAGCTACACGACGGAGAAGGTAACCCGCACGAGTTCCTCGTCGGACGGCCGTCCCGGTGGTTACCACTCGTCTTATTCCTCCACCACCAGTGGTCGTTTGCCCGGAGGCACTCCGACTTACCGTCACTTCTCTTACCGCGTCTAATCGCCGACTGACCGGAAGCCAAGAATCGAATGACACCGCACGGCTCTACACACGATATTATTACATTATTATTTTAATATACGTATATAATGATAGTATTATACTAGGTGTTGTTATACCTAAATGCAATCACATAAATATATATATATATATAGTATATATATATATATATATATGTATAGGTAAACATACGAATACTAATTATTGAAACCATATTATATATTATTTATACACGACGTAAAAAAATCATGGTTTGATATAACAAATATTTACACAATACGCACGCACGCATTTTTTTTTTTTTTTTTTTTAATAATAAATTATTATATAATATTATATTAAATTAATAACTTATATAACTGGTTTATAGAACCTAATATAGTTTATTTTATACTGCAGTTAGTTAATTTTGATATCGACACACGAAACATACATAACAAAGCACGTTATTACGACCACTATATACACTACTGCTATTACCTATACCTATTACTAAATTTATTTTTTAAACACTTAATGATATTATATAATTTATTTCGATGTTGTCGTTATCGTTGTTGTTTTTATTGTTAAAAATAAATATTATTTATTGAAAAAAAAAATATTGTGTGTTTTAATATTATTTTATTTTCAACTTTTTTTCCTAAAAATGAATATTATTATTTATACTTGATTACAGCCACTGTATTCGTCCGATGGCTATGATTTGCCACCTACTTACTATAAGGTAATTATTAACTATCAAATTTTACACTTACACTAAAATTTATAGTATGACGTCACTGAATACGAATTAGGAATTTGGGAGTTGGTTTAATAAAAATAAAATTTATACTACCCAAGTAGCTAATAATCTTTATGCTGGTAGATGATGAGTACATATTATTGTCGACAATAAAACAGTATCCAATACTAAGTTCTTATTACCACATTTTTTCTTAATTGTTTTTCGATTTCAAATTTTAATAAATAAAAACTAACAAATCAGTCTATTTTTGTCTTACCATCGTAAACACTTTTTAATGTATTTCAATTTTTAAGCCAAAAGTTACTTAAATTTAAAATATGCATGACACTCAAATGCAATAACAACTTTTTGAAACACATCTACCATTTTAACACCAAATTATTTCTGTGAAATACTCCAATACTTGAAATAGGTTTATAATGTTTATATCTATATAAATACTCACGTTATTCATTGGTTACGTAGCAAATAAAAGTAAATATATTTTGCATTACAAAATGCATATTTGAAATTTTGTTATAAACTTATAAAGCTATAAGTTAAAAGACTCAATAATCCATACTCCAGACTATATTATATTTCTGCCTTCTACATCAGGTTAATAGGTATACATCTATGACACAAGTAGGTATATAAAAGACCTAATATTATGCAATTTATTTGTCATCCCGGTTCAATAGAGAAACATATTTTACGTGTTGCTTGGAATTAAAACTTAAGTTTTACGTAGCTTGTGAGTAGATGAGAGCTGATATTTACCGATATAGGTAGCTTTTGTAAACTTCTTATAATATTATAGGTTTATACAATAATTATTACAATCATAAGTTAAAATTTCAAAATATCATCATAGTTTTTATTTTATAATTCTAATCAAATACCTACTTACCTTAAAAATCGTAAGAAATATATCAATAACTTTAATAATTAACTTGAGTATTGGTTAACATACATGAACTGGAAGAAGCGATGAAATGGAAGCGGCACGTTTTATTTTTAACTTTATTTTATTTAGAAAATATGTATAGGCATACAATCTGTTGATTTACAATTATAAACATGTAAATAATATTACATACCTATATAACATGCTGTATACGTATTTACTATATAGCATGCACTATGTATATATATGAAAAAACAACCACCAAATGGTGACACATATTAGGTTAGTGTATCAGTATTTTGAATCCCAAGTAGGTCAGGGATAATAATTTTGCTGTTTAATGATGGGTGAGTAATTTGAACTTTGGCCAGCAAATATTATGCTTATGAGTCTTATGACATTATAACGTGTCAAGTTCAGTGTTCTTACTTATCACTATATTTAGTTTATTCTCAGTCTATTACCTATATAATCCAATTCGTTTCTAAAATTCACGAAAGCTATTTATAAAAATATAAGAAATTTTGATACTCGCATATTTTTAATCGGTAGTGATTTTTATTAGATTCTCTAAAATTTTGTCTGTCCCTTTCTTAATTTTAAATTTTTATAAATAATAATCACTGTTGATTGATTATTTAATATTCGTATTTTTTAAATTTACATTATATCTATTCTGCAATTTTTTTATTTAAACATATAAACTTATCATTTAAGTGGAAATCTTAAGAATTAAGTAATTTATCTAGTATTATTTTAAATAATATATTATCTGTAATATACCTCACATATCAAGTAGTATTTATTTACTTAAAATTTATGAAAATTATACAGTAATTAAGTAAATAACCGTCTTGTATAATATATTACTATGATATACCTACTGATATGTATTTATATTTCATGTATATCATTTTATTTTAATTAAGTATATTATTATATAATTTACTAATGTACATTGGCATATGGTAGTTTTTAATACTAGTTAGGTATATGATTTTCTAAATTACAACGTTTGTGAAAAATTAGCTTTACAAAATAACATACATGTAGGTATTTGTGAGATATTCCATAATAATTAAATATTATATTTTTATAGTTTATACAACATTGAAGTACTTAATCAATCATGAATCAACAGTAGATATAAAAAATAAAAATGCAATAAAACAAGCAAAATGTTATATTTTTAACTATGAGTAACAATTCATCTGTACTAACACATTTATATGTCATGAATTACTGATGTAAAACATCATTATGGTCTCGACTCGCGAGTGTTATTTTAAAACATGCATTTAGATGAAAAAATTATATTTTATGCGATTCTGTAGACTGCATTACTGCAGCATATTTGATATCGTTCCAAAGTGAACACATACTAAATAATAATAATAACTGAAATATCATTAGAATATATATTTTTTTTAATCTTAAATATAATTTAGAAATTTATGTTATTTTAAATGGCAACACAATATTTTTAATTTTTTATATTGTACTTATTTTATTTCACAGAAATAAAGTACCAAATAGTTAGGTAATAATTAATATTAAAAAATAACTTAAATATTTTTTTATATATTTAGATAAAATATAATGGATGCAAATTCCAAGAAAATCAAAGTCTATAAATTTCATGGAATTGGCAAAAAAAAAAAAAAAATTATTATTGCACAAGTGTGGATAGTCGTATTGGAAACAAATATTTAAATGTTTTAATATACACGTATAAAAATCTATGATTATAAAAACTAACAGATAGAACAAAAACTACAAATTAAAAAATATAAAATAGCCTGTTTAAAATAGTAATTGTAGTATTTTTATAACTTATAAAGAATAATGAAAAATGAATTCCATAATTTAAGCTAAATTAAATCATATTTAATTTATTATAATGATTATCTAAGCAACAATAATAAATTATAAATTACCTATAAACAATAATATATTATAATATTATATTATAAATTACAATAATGTAAGCACTTAAACTGTTTAAAGTATACGAAAAACGAACATATTTAATCATCAATATTATATTTGAATACTTATATCGAACTATAGTCTAGAATAGAGTACTAATATAAAAAAAGAGTATTGTTATTGAAACCATCAACATCAGTTTTTTGGTCATCAATTTTATAATTGTGTTCGTAATAAACCATTGTTTATGGTACAGCTATTTTAGTATAGGGTATTAGGGTGTTAAAAAAACATTTATCTCATTTTTAATTGACGCTATGTCTTATTTATTTGGTTATATTTGAATCGATTAATTGAAATTTATAATCAATTAAAATTATAAATACAAAGAAAATACATACAAATTATTTTTTTTAGTTGCCAGTTTTTTAATATGGAATATTTTTTTTTTGCGTAGTTTATACTTAAATAATTTAATATATTTTTATTGTTATAAATAGGCTATTTTCCAATTTTATTTTATTTTTTTCTTAAATATCTGTTGTTCTCTTTAACCTTATATCTTTTAGATATATTAGATATTTTTACTACTTTATTCTAGTACAGGGCCTTTTTAACTATATTTATTAATTAATTATTAAATATCAATACTACCTATTTAAAAATATCACTTCAATATATTTTAATGAATTTTGAAAAAAAATGCACCTTGTATGAAAAAATTTAAAAAAATCGTATCTATGCAACATATTTATATAACAAATAATTAATTAATTAATATTATAATCACTAATCAGGCGCATCAAGTATATCAGACGAGTACTACACCTACTCCATTTATTCTGACACCATCATTATCAACCGGGAAACCATCTCCAAATGTTTTACCTTACAATGGTTACCCTTATAATCACCATCATTACGTACCAATGCACAGAAGATCCGCAGCTACAATTCATGGTGTTTTAGATAGGATAGAACATCGTCCAAGATCTCATCCATCATACGACCCTACTGATGAATATCTAAACTCTAGAAGTTCTACAGTGAGAAATAATTAAATTTATTTATAATACGTATCATGGTATATTTTTTTATTAATAATATTATTTTGATGGTTTTAGAACTTTGATGATGTTACACGAGACATTCGAGCTCAAACCGCTGGATTGCTTAAACAAGTATACACTCCTACATTCAGACCCAAAATATCTTCGGTGTCCAATGGATATAGTGAATTACCCGTATCACAACGCATAGAATCTGATGCTTATATTGAAAAAATTCTCTCTGACTCAGATTCTTATCGCCGTGAAAATAACATTGGTATAATAAAATATTAATAATTACTATTTTTATTTATTAAACAATATTAATAACATTTTTTTTTGTTTTCCATTAATACTTTTAAAGGTAAAGGACACTTGGCTTGTGTATCATATGCTGGTGGTAAGGCTTACCCAAGGAGGAGGCCACATTTGTCAAAAGAAGTTGACGACAACATCACTATGTTGTCTTATTATAATAAAACAAGAGAAGCTGTGGCGGCATCTTCAACAAATCCATCAATTAAAGTAAACGGTACAGATAATTCGAGGAATAATTATCGGGAAAAAAATTCTGGAGATGATAACAAAAATAATTTTAATAAGAATGAATCCACGTCAGACAAGAATTTAGCAGCCGAAAAAGAAACAGTTCGATTAGCTTCGGAAAAAGAAGCAGCAGAAAAGGAAGCAGCTCGATTAGCAGCTGAAAAAGAAGCAGCTAGACTAGCAGCCGAAGAAGAAGCAGCTAGACTGGCAGCCGAAGAAGAAGCAGCTAGACTGGCAGCCGAAGAAGAAGCAGCTAGACTGGCAGCCGAAGAAGAAGCAGCTAAACTGGCAGCTGAAGAAGAAGCAGCTAAACTGGCAGCTGAAGAAGAAGCATCTCGAGTAGCAGCTGAAGAAGAAGCAGCTAGACTAGCAGCTGAAGAAGAAGCAGCTAGACTAGCAGCCGAAGAAGAAGCAGCTAGACTGGCAGCTGAAGAAAAAGCAGCTCGAGTGGCGGCTGAAGAAGAAGCAGCTAGATTGGCAGCTGAAGAAGAAGCAGCTCGATTGGCAGCTGAAGAAGAAGCAGCTCGAGTAGCGGCTGAAGAAGAAGCAGCTCGATTGGCAGCCGAAGAAGAAGCAGCTCGATCAACATTAGAAAAAAATGTTGAAGAAACCGAAGAAATTGATCAATCTGAACAACAAATAAATTTGTCTGAGAAAATTATAGAAACAAGCTCAGAATCTCAAGAAACTAATGATGCTGCGATTGCAAAATCTTCAACTATAACCACCTCTACTGAAATAATTAATGAAGATGAAGGAGGAGTTAAAACTACAGCAGTATTTCAAAGAACAATTAAACAAACAACGACCATAACAAGTAGTACTGTTGTATCTGAAAACGATGATGATATTAATACAAAGGTTGAAATACAAGAGATAGTTGAAGAAAACGGTGAAGACAGTGAAGACGAACATGACACCGAGCATCTAGATGCTGCTCAAGCGGAAGGACAAGAATCATCCGAGGAGGAAGACGAATCAGAAGAAGAAGAGGAGTCCGAGGAAGAATAAAAAGTTCATCATACTTAATTACATTTTTATTTATATTATTTATTTCAAAATTATTTATTTTTATCATTTAAATATTTATAATTTATATAGGTTAAGTTTCCATACACATTACACAATGTTTTACTTATTAATAATTTTTAAACATTCAATATAATTGACTATCGTAATGTTATAAACTTATAAGAATTTGCATTTTAATAGTATACAATTTAACATCTTAAATATTTTCATTTATTTGTTATAAAAATATAAAAATAAATATATTTAAATTATTTAACAATGAATATGATAGAAATTTATATTTATGTTTCATTTGATCATTTATAGGATTTAGACACAATCACTATAGTGTTATTAAAGTGTGTATCATCCATCACCTATTAATTAAAGCAATTACTTTTCGATATGATACATCAAACAAAGATATTTAGACTTTGATTATACTTTTGTCCTGTATACTATACTATAAAGTAAATGTCTATACTACATACTTGAATATATTAGAAGACATTTAATGGTTATTCTTGAAAATATTAAAATTTAAAAAACATGGGTGTTAAATAAATTATTATCTAATAAAGTAATAATCTAAATACTCGTAGAGTTGTCATTTATTTGTTTATTTGTTCATTCCATTACAATAAATAGATTATGTTGCGAAGATCGTAAACAGTAAGACTGTAATGCAATGCTGTAGTTCTTAAAAATACTAAAGAAAAAAAATATTATATTGTATAATTTAAATGGGATTATTTCAAAAGTTTTTTAGATTTATAAGATGTTATTTCACAGAACTTAAATATTAAACCACAATTTCAATATTGAATTTGAAAAACCTACATAGATTAGGTTAGAATATAAAATACTAATGTCCAATTAATAAAAAACAAAATATTTGTTAAATATTTTAATGTTAAATAATATAACTAAATGAGATGAAAAGAAAAAACTAAAATATGCAGGTCACACGTGAAGGAAACCTAAAGCTTTAACAAAGACAGTTCTACAAGAGAATCCAAGAGCGAAAAGACCTTTGGAAAAACCTAGAATACAATGAGAGGATTATATCAAAAGAGATGTAGCATACTTCTACCCAAATAAATAATGGCAAATGTTGGCACAAAATCAGAGTGGATGGAGACAATTATGTTTGGATATGTGATCTAAAGGTCATAAAAAAAAAAAAAAAAAAAAAAACATTTAACTGATACAAAAATAAAATTTTACTTACTATTTAGTACTTAATAAATATAATGCTTAATTAATTATATATAATATATAAACATAGTTTTTATTATTTAACAATTTTTATTTTTTAATTCAGTAATTTTGAAAAGAATATCTAAATTTGTTCATAAAATTGTGTTATAATTGTTTATAAAAGTATTATTTCAATATTTTTTTGTAATTCAAGTTTTAACAAATATTACAGCTTAAAACTATTCAATAAATTAATCAATAAATAGTTATTTAATATTATAAGTATATTATTTTTATTAACACTATTAAACCTAAGTAAATTAAACAAAGAATAGAAAAAATAATTTGTTATCTAACTAAATCATAATATCACATGAAATGTTTGCCATCTAAATAATTCAATATATTATTAATACTATTATACATGCGATAAACAAATGGCACAATGAATAAACATAACATTAGGTACTTTTAAGTACTTATTACAAATAATTTTGATGCAATTTAAACTTATTGACTGTCAAAATAAGTTAAAATAAATATATAATCTAAACATGGATGCTGTTATAAGTGGTCATTCTTCAGATTGTGTTGGTGTTTCATCTTCATTTATTTCACCTAAAATTAAAAAAAATATTTATTTATTTGTTAATAGACCAGTGTGTGTTCTATCATTCAGTGTATAATCTAATATGTTAAACAATGTTAATGATCTATAACTATTATTTATAATAAGGAATAAATATTGGATATGTATAATGTATTACATATTTTCTATTTTTAATTCAATAAATATAACACATTAATTTCGATAAATAGACATTTTATAAGCAAATATTTATCATGGATATACGAATACTTATTATTAAACACTTGGTATTATCTTATACAGTTAAGTGTTAAAACACTAGACACTAAACAAGAAATAAACTGATGAAATCACATTTTTATTTTTTATGATTTAATTCAAAATAATTTTTGAAGTATTATATGAATATTTAAATTCTAATAATAAATTAATTAAACAATAATTTGTTTTTATTTATAAGAAATGTAAATTTTAGTGCTTAGGTAATGTTCAAAAAAAATTTGTTTTTTATATGATATATCCATAATGTAATAAAAGAACATGTGTTATTATTTTAAGACATTTATTTCTATTATTAATATATATATATATGTATATTCAATATTATTTAAATGTCAGACTTTTTTATACTGTACTAAAATTATAATGCAATTACTTAAAAGTAAGGCATAGATTTATCAGTAAAAATTGTTTTTAATACAAATTCATGTAACATACAATTTATAGTAAGAAGATTATGCAATACAATAAATATGTAAAAAATTTAGCTAAAAAAAATCAGAGTAACACTATTTTTTTAAGAGATTGTGTTTGTAAAGTATTATATTAAATTGTTATGTGGCGAGTATTAACACAAAGTAATGATTACTGATTTCAAGTTTTTGAATTAAAAACATCTATAATTATCTTAAATACTTTTTACTTAGAAAAAATTAAAAATTAAAAAAAATAAATAAATAAGCTTATTTATTAAAAAACTATCATAAATAAAATTTAACATTAACTAAATATTGTAGAATGTGTAACTTTCATACAATTGTCCAAAAATTTGAGATTAATAAGCATTTTCATTTAACTATGCTAAAATATGCAAAAAAATTTGGAATCTCAGAATCTATACAGTATACATCATGAAACGACAACATTTTAAATTCAAATATTTCTTGATGAGTGATTAAAAAATCTGCATTTAAATATAAATACAGGCTTTACTTATTAGTTTAGGGTTGCCATACGTTCCAGTTTGAGTGGCTCTGTATTGGTTTTGAGTAAACAGTGAAACACTATCCGATAAAGTGTGTAGGTCAATTGTCCTGTAATTAAACATAAAAAATATATGTAAGTGTTTTGTCTTTTACTAAACATTCTTGTAAAAAAACGGTATTGATTAGACAAATGACAAAAAAAAATCAAGATGATTACATGATTCACTGATTGAATTTATTTTGCTAGTTAGTGTTGACAATTATTCAATTACTTTGGATTTGTAGCATTAAGTTAGTTTTACTTTATAAACATAAATTATAAATTTTTAAACACTGTGTAGAATAAAAAAAAATAAAAAAAAAAATAGGATGTTATTAACACTAGTGGTTGATCTCATGATTAAAAAGTGGTGCAATTTTTTATTTAAAAATTAAACGAAAAATGTTTGTCATGGTTTAAGTCAAATAAAATATAGTAACTCTATATTAGTTGATATTTTAATAAATAAATAGTTTATCTAATTTTAAGAAAAGTAAAAAAAAAATATTTTAAAGATTTTATAGTTATAATATTTAAATTTGAATGTAAAAATGTATTTTATTATTACTTATTATGTATAACATTATGTAGTTTGTCTTAAGTAGTTGATTGAATAAAATATTTTGCATTGATTTAGTAAATTCCAATTTATTATAATAGATATATATATTATGATGGAATGACTGATCAACTAGTTCGACTGAAAAAAGAAAATAACTTCATTAAATATTACTCATTTGTCATACAACTTAAATACTAAATTATACATCTTATCTTAATACATGTTATTTAAAATTTATTATAAAAAATTTAAATAAAATGAAGCAATCATCAAAATAAACAATTATTGTATTGAAATATAATAGGTTGTATAATTGTATTTTATATAATTATAAAATATGATGCTGATAAGAACCCCAGTAATTGTGATCTATAATTTTCTGTACTTATCTGATGACAAATTGAAATATAATTTCAAAAGACTATAATATACAATGATAAGTTAGGAACTAAACACTTTATTGATATAATTTTACTAATTATTTTATCCAATTAATCAAAAAATGAAAGATAATCAAGAAATTTATATTAAGTACTTATTACTTTAGTTAGATACCTATATTAAAGTAAATCTACTATTTACTTTTTATTACTATGAACATTTACTCTAGAAATAAGTAACATTGTTCAAGTAAAATATATTTTTCTTACAATATTACCATCACAAATGGTGAAATTATTCATCCAAATACAAATTTCTAGAGTTATAAGACAATAATATTATAGAAGTAAAAATACTCTATTTGGTCATAAGTTATAATAATTATGCACACAATATAATATGATATATACATACGATATACGTTTTTCCAATGTGACAGACTATGAAAGATTAGTGTCTAGTGAGATTATGAACAAAAAAATTATATAATACCTAAAGATAAGCAATAAATATGATTTATGAGTAATATGACCTTAAAAATGTTTCTACATTATTATCATTACTATCGTTAAGCCCAGTTATCATATTATGTACACTGCGTTATTGATAAAAATGTTATCTTCATGGGGCACAGAATAATAAAAAATAAAAAATTATTAAATTTATTCTTTGATGAAGGTACGAGTACAAAGATTAAAATAGATCTGTGCACAAAATAATGATATTAACATATTAAAATAAATACGCTTTTTACAACTTTTTAATGAGTGACTACTAAATAAATTTAAATATGCCAGAAGCGTTTCTACTGAGAAATCTAGATATTGTCGGTGGTCTGAATAGTCAAAGTGACCCGTCGTTCGTTTCCTAGAATTTTGTAATTTTTTTTATGATAAATTAAATGTTTGATTGAAACTATAAATAATTCAATATAATGTACTTGGAGTACTAGAATACTGAATAGTATAAAGAAAAAATGGAAAATACTATAAAGTAGGTACGATTATTTTAGTTAAAACAGTTTTTGAATTTTTTTATTACCTTTTGCATTAAAAATTATAATTCTTGTGAACTCATTAATAGATAGTTTGCATTTAATGAACAACTCACCGAAATGATAGTTTTGATAGTATATAATATTAATGTTAATTACATTTAGATTTAGAACTTATATATTAGTATTTTGTATATTTTTATAATTTTTTTTATATATAAACTACATAATGAACTTATTTATTTTTAAGATTCATTACATATTTATGAGTTATTAATTTAATGATTTTTTCTTTTATACATTGGAACTAAAAAATATATTTTAGGGTTTTATCTATAACCTAAGTCGAATGGTAAAGTCAACAAATAATAATCGATAATAATATAATAATAATTTAGTAACTAACTGTCGAATCGTAGGGTACTAGGGTTAAGGCAGGAATTTAAACTAATCTTTCAAAGAAATTGTTGTAGTTCAATAATCAAGCATGCAAGTAATTATACGGTGTACAAACTATACGTATTCCGACGACAAGTATATTTTCATTTTGTCAAATAGGTACTCGAGTGTATTTAAGGCTTCAAAAATATAATAGTCTTGATCATGACTCGTTCCTATAACTTGTGTCACATTTACCGGCAATCATTGAGAAGGTACCACTTCATCAGTGATCATTTTATCAATAATTATACAAGGATACTGTTTTGACATGATCGAGGACGGCATGAGAAGTACCTAACCACCGTGTCACCATTATCAAAATATATTGGCCAAGCACGACAATTATGGAAATATGGTAGGTACACAAAATAAGAGACTATACAGGAAATTTTTTAAAATAGTAAAATATATAAGCATTACCAATTTAAGTTAGACATATCATGCACGCAAGGTTTTTTTTTTATATATATAGTTGGTATTGAATGAAGTATTAATCTTATTTAATTAAAAATAATACTTGGTACGTAATAATATGCTTAGTGCAACCTGATTCCGTTGATATAAACACAAAAAAATAAGGTAATAATAGACTAATATGCATACATTGCATACCTACCTAATCAGTTTTCTTGTACACTATAGAAAATATAATGTGTGTGAAAGCGTTGTTTAATCCAAAACTCAAATAATTAAAACGGATGGGTGATTCTAAACTTCTAATTTGTATTACCTATGCATACTCTTCCTGGTCTTTTTCACTTTTCAGTATTAATATTTATACCTGAAAGTCGAAATGTATAATATCCAACTCTTTTGTCCTTTTAAGTCTTTAATAACTTCGTTTCCGTATTATAATTTAATGTTTATAATAATATGAGTAATGAATAAACAAATTTAAAAAAAGTCAAGAATATACCTATATTGCACAAATTGTATTCTTTCTTGAACTTCCAATTTTGTGACCCAGAAAGTTCTATATACATATTTGTGTATAATTTTCAACTCTAAAAAGTATGGACTAAATCTTATTTTTCATAGGAAAACACCCTTAAAGTTGAGATTGAAATATTTTCTCAACTATTTATCATCTAGATTGTAAGTATAGTGTATAGCGTACACACAAAAAAACCATATTGTAAAATCAATAAATTCATCGCTTCGCTCGGAATCTAAGAAATAAAAGGTAAATACAATTAGGGCCTAGAGATATTATTAGTAAATAATGTTTTGACTATGCGCCATATTTTCCTAAAATGTATTTTATAGAAAAAATGTACTCTGTGCTTAGATAATTAATCAAATAATATACTTTGGTTGCTCACTAGCTCACTTGCTCACTCCTTATTAGGTCTCATATTTTCAACACGTTACTAACAATTATTATAATGTACAAATTATTCATATGTGTGGATAATATAAATTTATTTTTATTCACTGTAAATATTTTCAATAGATTATTTAATTACACAACATTTATGATTAACGATTACATTTTATATTTCGTCGAGCAGTGAGCTGGCGAGGCGAGTCACAGATAATCATAGAATTTAAAATAGATAATAAAATAATAACATGTTGGTAGACCATTCACTGAAAACTTGTAAAATTTAATTTTTTTTATGTATACGCATTTCTTTATAAATATTTTTACAAGTATACTTTGTGTCTCCGACCTCTGTTTATATTCCAGTACACTGTACACTCCTAGGTACAGGTTTCTATATTGACAAAGTACAATATTAGTATAACTTTAAATAAAAAGTACAAGCTATAAAGTAAAATCGACGCATTCCATTAATTAACAGTGTATTGTCAGGGAAAAAAGTTTTAATTGTGTGTAGCCTAAGGGAACAGTTGAAAACTACATTAAATATATGAGAATAATTTGGATTGGCGTATGTTCAACCATGGGAGCTTATCCTCCCAACCAAAACCATATTGCGCCAATGAATCAATACTTTTTGTCTTATTAAGTTAAAATACTATAAGTATGACATTTTTTTTTTTTAATATAGCTGCGTTTAAGTTAATAACCTATTTTGTATTTCATATGAACCATCAACCGACAAGTGACAACCATGATGTGAAATGTAGCCTATAAGGCCCTAAAAAGCATCCGATGCCTGAGAAAAATGTGTACCACTTCTAAAACATTGTATATTTTTTAACTTTTTAAGGTATTACATTTACTTATGTTGTCCTACAAATATTGTATAGACCACCGAATATAATAACGATGGTTGATATTAGCGATAGGCGTCAGACGATAATTGTTTTTACATAGAATTGGTCGTCGACCGTCATATTACTGACGTTTGTGTTTTGACGTATAATCCTCGTCCCACGTTTATATTTAGTACACTACACATTCAATAATGTCGTTACATTTTTGCGATCGATTGTGCACATTGCATAGCAATCGCGGACGAAATAAAAACCTCTAGATGGTAAATGACTATAAACTATATTAATATATTATAGAAGTATAGAATACGCTCATTTATTTGAACGCATATTATATAGATACATTAATACAAAAATACTTATTTTTTTTGACAAACATTTAATTTTAAATAAAAAAATTAAATCCCAAGACCTAATTTATACTAATTTATAAAATCACACAGTGTCATCATTGGATGGGTTTCCCACGTCTAAAAGCAAATATACAATATAAATACATAATTTTTATTCCCATACCCATATATTCTGTAACATGGTATATCATTATATTATTTTTATTGTATTATATTACATTATTATTTATTATATATATATATATATATATATATATGAATAAATTATATAATAGTCACTAAAATTAGTAATAATAATAATAAAAAAAAAAATAAGTTTCATATTATTAGGTGTATATATTTTTAATATTTGTAAATTAAAATTAAATAAATTTTCCTTTTTTACTTTTTTAACTGTGGAATCCTCAATTTTTGATAAACCCGGTTTCAGCTTATTCAGCTTCGCTCCTACATCTTACCGTGGAAGATTAATAAATAATAATAATTAATAATATAAGTGATTGTTGGTAAAATTGTAGATTATAAATTAATTAATAAATTATAATCATTGTATAGAATTCTCATTTAATTCTAAAAATTAAACATGTTTAAAAATAAAATAAGAAAAAAGAATTACAAACCGAAAAATCTGAAAATACGTAATACTTCTGAGGAAATGCGATGTATAGAATATAGGTAATTTCTAGGAAGAATGTACCTTAAAATATAAAATTAGCTGTTATTATTTTTTTTCTAGGTACAGCTTGTTAATCGTTACAGATTTTAAATTCATCTTATTTAATTAAAACTTTTAATTGAATACATTTTAAAAAAAACCTCATATTAGAATCTGCCGAATCTGGATGTATAATCAATATACAAAAGTTAATAGTTATGTATACACTAAACACAAATACGCGGCTACGTTTAAAGTTTAAAGTTTAAACTATGTTTTATGAAATTAAATTCAAGGGATAGCATATTATATTAAAAAAAATAAAATAGAACCGGATGTAGTAAACCGACTGTGTTGCTTTACTATGTATTACAATTATTATTACATTAATACCATTAATTCATTATTTTATTATCCATGAGTTATTGCTGAATATCAATGATTCAATCACTATCAAATATTTATTACTTACATGGCGATATAAATGGTGTTAGAAAATATAGATATTGCCCGAAATTTCTAAACAATTCCTAGAAATCGTCAACAACAAGCAAGACCATAAGCTTAACTAAGTTTAGTGGTGGCCTAAGTATTATTTATCATAAAAACTGTAGGATATTGTAGAGTACATTTTCAATTTTTTTTTAAATTCATCTTTTATGCTCTACCATGTATCAATATAGTTAATACTTATTACTTAATATAAATACAGATACCGATACGCTGTAAAATTAGAATAGTTCAGAACTCCGGAGTTAGTTAAGTCGTTGGGTCGTGCCTTACCATCGCTGCTTTTACTTGAAGTCCGGATCCCAGTTTAACAAATGTAGTAAATCGGCACCGCCGCTGCTTTATAATTTTAACAATATTTTAGATGCAAGTAAGTAACTAATAAGTTATAAGTTATAACTAATA